TAGGGTTTCGGTTTTAGGGCTCAGGGTTTAGGGTTTACGGGCTTGCCCGCAGGCCAGATTCTGCTGTAATCATGCTTACCGAAGATCATGGGACGTCAATCTGAACCTGAAGTAGCGTGGCCCTGGCTGATGAAAGAAAGGCCCTACTGCTTTAGCTAAGCATCAGCAGGCTTGGTATGTAGATTGAAACTGGGCAGGCCAGCCCTATCTACAGTTACGGTCGTACTTACAACTTACTTATGCTGGCGAGCCTCTACATCAAGAAGTGTCGAGGTCCCGAAGCTCGTAGAACTCCCCCCCCCCACATTATGGTGGAGCTGTTTACAAATACCTGATGACGGGGTGTTGGGCTCTCTGGGTAAGCGATCCACTCCGGCCTTTAGTTGCCTGCAAACAGCCATTCCTAAACCCTAAAATACCCTAAACCCTAAACCCTACCTAAATAACCCTAAAGCCAAGCAACAAGTTGGCACTGTTGCAGGGAGCAGGAGCCTCTGTTTGTCACAGAGTTCATGGAGGGCGGCGACGTGGAAACCTACATGCACAAGCAGCGCCAGTCATCGCAGCTCGGAGATCATCCCAAAAGCTGCCCTCAAATTTTGAGCTTAGCAGTCTATAAGCAACGAGACTCCTCTTTTCCAGCTCATGGGGCCCAAAATGGTTCTAACCCCCTTTTGCAGGACAGTCCACTCTCTTAAAAACCTTCGACCCTCTGCAACTGCTCTCTTCTTCGGCCCCATGCTAACCTCTACTTCCAGCTAAAGTAGTTTCGCAGCCTCAGCCCTCAACACTTTAAGTATCCATAACCGGCTTAGGGTTAAGACTGATACGAGGGTGTTCGGGTTTAGGATTTAGGGTTTTGCGTTTGAGGTTTAGAGAGTTTAGGGCTTAGGGCTACCAGGTACAACAATTTCTTCAAGCCGCGATTCTCGCTTGCTCTTCAGTGGGCAACCTCCACTGCAGAGGCCACATGTGGGGGTTTCCGAAAATAGGGGACCCTAATATAGCAGCCTAAATAGTAGGATCCGAAAAATAAGGACACCAAAATAAGGCACCCCTAATTTAGAGAACTACCCATGTGCAGAATATAATAGTAGGAGCCCTTAACCCACAAACCCTAAACCCTAAACCCTAAACCCTAAACCCTAAACCCTAAACCTTAACCCACAAACCCTAAACGCCAAACCCTGCTGCAAGAATCCTCATGCCCATGAGCTAAAGTATACGGGATCCCAGCACTAATCATCTTAAACCCATGTTCCAAGTTTGGTGGGTTCGCAGTCAGGCTTGATAGAAGAGTCAAGACTTGCGCAATGTAGGGGTCAGAATAACTACCAATCTAGCATTCCTCACTATGATCCGTCATAGTACAAGAGGTTGTACGGATTTCGCAGCAGTTCGATGTGTTCGGGTTCCTGTTTTTGTTTGTTTTTGTGTGGAGGGAGGCGCTAAAGTGACTCAAGTCCGAGGCTGGCATCGACATGTACAGCGGCGATTTGCGTTTAAGTTTAGCGCTTAGGGTTTACATCGGATTATAGGGGGTTTTAGGGTCTTATGTATCACATGTCATTGGTAGGTGGTGTTCAAGGGTTTCGTGGCGTAGGGTAGCGTCTCAGCAACAGGTTTGCAATCGATTTCGTTCTTGGTGTGAGATACATACAGGAAATTCGTCAACCCCTATCTGGCTCGTTGGGTGTTGAAGCCAATTGATAAGCTCGAACTTGCCCAGGTTGGGCTTGGTAGGGTTTTGGGGTTTCAGCTGGGCTAAACCCAAACCTCTTCTTGTTGCGAAGGTGTGGAAAAGAAGGAACACAAAAGACTGCCCGGAGCCCACAACCTTAAACTCCTAAGCCCCAAAACACAACATCCCCGGATCCCAGTATCCTTAACCACAACTGTTAAAGTCGACAAATTCTGAGCCGTCTGAAACCCTGACCACACTCCTAAAGTCTTCAACCATCAAACCTGCAAGAAACCCTGAACCCTACACTATTTAAATCACTCAACCCCTGACCCTAAACTCTAAACCCCCAAGCCTTAAACCGGAAACCCTAAAGCCTGAATCTTAATCTGGTCAAGAGTCTATTTAGGTTTCATGGCAGCAATTGTGAGGCTGGAAGTAAGGTAACCTATAATTCGATTCAATGACGCGCAAACTCTACGGCATGTGTATATCCCTGCGCAAACCCTGTGAAAAACTCCTACTCCCCAGCGCATTTGCGAGCTAATTGAGAAGCCGGAATACATGGTAACATCATACCTTTCTCTTCCGTATATTTAAAAGGGACTGTTGCATACTCCAACACCCTGTTCTACTTTTCGAATTCTTTGCGCCTTAATGACCACTAAGGTCCTCCCATGCCAGACGACTCATGCTAACCTCAAGCCCCAAAGTTAGGTACCCTTACTCTTGAGACCCTGCTATAACGTTTTTGAAGCCCGACAACATCCCACCAAGGACGCATACTCCTGGCCCTAAACCCTGAACCTTAAACCGCTCCTCTACGCTCCAAGAGCCAAAGCCTTGAAACCCGCAAACTCACAGGACCCAATACCCTTTGACAGAGGAATATACCTGGAATTATAGGGGCCTTAATATGATGATTTATGGTATATTCACCCTAAACCCTAAACCCTAAACCCTAAACCCTTAGCCAAAACCCTAAACCCTAAACCCCAAACCCTAAACCCTAAACCCTATTTTTTTAGGGGTATTGGGTTCTCTGGAACTCTGTTCAACAGACGCGCCAGGCCCTGGCCTACCTGCATGGTCTGAATCATCCCATAATTCATCGAGATTTGAAGCCGTGGCTTGGACGGTTTAGGGTTTAGGGTTTAGGGTTTAGGGTTTTGTATCATCATAGTTACCATCAACATGTTATAAGTTATAATTCAGTTCATGTTCATCTTCGTCGTTATCACCGTCATCATCATCACTATCATCATCATCATCATCATCATCATCATGATCACCATCATCATCATCATCATCATCATCATCATCATCATGAGCATCAGCATCATCATCAGCATCGCCATGATCATTACTTCGCGCTTCTGTTGCTAGCCATGAAAACTCGGTGCTGGTACTTTTAAAATGACTGCTCTCAGCAATTGACGGTTCTTGCTGTGGGTTGCTATACCCACGAATGGGAGGATCCAAAAAGTAGATCCCTAGAGGGATCTGTAAGGGCTTTTTTATGCGATCTACAAGGGATCCTTTAAGGGAGTTCCGAAAGTAAGTAATCCTCTAGTATAGTAGAGGGTCTACAAATACTCGTCCTTCGACTGTCGTTCACACGTTGTTGAACCTACGTCTGCATGAAAGTCATCGCTGTCGTGGCTGCATGCTCGTGCTAATACATCCAAGATGCTGAAGCAGAGGATTGTTCTGCGGGGCGGGGTGCGGCGGAGACAATTTGGTGATGATTTCCATGATGTTATTGCTATCTCTGCAATCTCCTCCCCCCTATCATGCCCCCGCATCAGAACATCATCGATTTCGTGAGAAAGTTATCATCACAGGTCGTATGTTGAATGTTCCCATGCTCAGTGTTTATTCCAAACCATTCCGGTAGTAGCAGTACGAGTTGCAGTAGCAGCAGCAGCAGCAGTAGCAGTCGCAGCAGCAGTCGCCGTCTAGCAGAAGCAGCTAGTGGTAGTAATCGTCCCAGGTCACTTCAGTCGACGGGCTAGGAATGGCTAGAAACCCTAAACCCTAAACCCTAAACCCCTAAACCCTAAACCCTAAACCCCTAAACCCTAAACCCTAAACTCTACTGTTGATGGACGAAATCCTGCATCATTTTTATTAGACCAAGAATCCCTTCCAAACCCTGAATCTTAGCATTGACCTCTTCGCAATGCTTGGGAGGGGCACGTGCGCGAATGACCGAAATCCTGCATCACTTACATGTACATGCAAGATTGAAATTAGAGGGGCACGGGGAGCTCCACTGTTGACAACACATATTTGTCACGCAGGGGGTCATGCAGGATTTTGTCCATCCACCGTCTGGGAAGACATTCGTACTCTCACGGAAACAAACTGTCCAAGGTGCCTGCACGGTTTGAGGGCATGGTCAGGCTCCACACAACAGAAAAGCCCACTACCTGGCATTCTCCAAGTTTCAAACTCCTTTGCTACCAACAGAACCCCCTAACACGTGGCAATTTCCAAGTTTCAAACTCCGAAAGGCAGAATCATAGTAGTTTCATACTAGATTCAAATTAGTTCCAAGCTCCAGTTTCAAACTCGCTGTTAAGGGGATATTGCATTTTCCTGGACGCGAAATTGAAAAGCCTCAGTTCGCAGAGATTCCAGATTTCTCATTTTCACGCCCACGAAAATGCAGTTCCCCCTTAGCAGCGAGTTTGAAACTGGAGTTTGGAACTAGTTTGAAACTAGTATGAAACTACTACGAAACTGCAAAAAGGAGTTTGAATCTTGGAAATTGCCACATATTCTGACTTTCTATTGGTGAAGAGGAGTTTGAAACTTGGAAAGTGCCACGTATTCGGACTGCCTGTTGTCTGGAGCCTGGCCTTGCCAACACAGGCCGTCATCCTGGACACTGAAGTCCTCGAACGGTTTAGGGTTTAGGGGTTTAGGGTTTAGGGTTTAGGGTTTAGGGTTTAGGGTTTAGGGTTCACGGGGTCATAAGTTACTGTTCTGTAGGGCATGGTGCTACTTGGAGGACGTCGCAAGCAGAGTTATTGGCATCTTAACAGGCGTGTTGTAAGTATGGCTACCTTACTTATCACTAAGTCACTAAGTCCCATGATCCTTGAAGGTAGGGCCGAAAGTCTTAGTCTGGGGTCTTTGGGGCCTTTTCTCCGTGGGTTTGGGGTTTAGGGTTTTAGCGGTTTAGGGTTTGGGGTTTATGGTTTAGGGTATGGGGTTCAGAGGTGCCTTTTTACGGGTTCAGCGTCGAGTCGTAAGGCTACCTGCTGGCCGCAACACCGCATACACAACCGTCCACAAGGGAAAGTAAGTGTCAGACACAATCCTGATCATGAATGTGCAGTATCACCAGACTTTGAGTTGCCATCTCGCATGATTCTAGCCCAAAGGCGGCATTGCCATGTCCATCTCTGAGGACAGGTATGTCGTTCGTAACTCCGAGCATGCATGAGAACCAAACCCAAGCCCCGGACCTCTAAAGACCCGAAGCCCCTGCAACCCAGACGTAAGCCCTACGGTACACTCTAATCCGAAAAAAAAGGTGGTGTAAAACCGAAGCCTGATCGCAAAGCCACGAACTAGGGCATGGGTTCAGGGTTTAGGGTTTAGGGTTTAGGCAGCTCGGGGCGATTCGGTCACCCGAAGCCCCTTGATCCGGACCCCCAAAGCACAAAATCTGATAACTTTGTGGGTTTAGGGGTCTAAGGTAGGGGCTTAAATAAATATCAACACTATTTTTTGGTGGGTTCCTTGCTATAATCATACTAGAAAGCATCCCAAAACCCTCAAAAAAGGCCCCTACATTACATCCGTTTCCTTCCCGGCAAACTCTAGACTCTGAGCCCGGTTTAGGTTTACGGGTTTAGGGTTTAGGGCTCTGAAATCTCGAGCTAAACCCTAAACCCTAAACCCTAAACCCTACACCCTACACCCTAAACCCTAAACCATAAACCCTAAACCCTAAAGCCAGCTGCCTGACCAAGGCTGAACCTGCTTCTCACCAAAGACCTCCAAGTGAAGGTGGACCGGTTGTAGGTTTTGGGGTTTCGGGGTTGGGGGCCTAGGGTTTAGGGTTCGAAGCTGCTGAGTTCCTGTCTTCAGGTAGGCCTTCGCGACATTTTATGCTTCCCTTATTGGGCCGAAGGGGATCCTATGTACGAATCTGTAGAGGCTTTAAGTAGTCCGGGTGAGCGGTTGTCGCTTCAGGTAGCAGCTGGTGTCCTGCAAACGGATCGTCAAACCCTAAACCCTAAGCCATCAACTTATGACTTGCCCGAGGTGCTTGGAAATATTTATCGTTAGGTTAAAAAATTAGGCATAGTTTCAGACTCGGGACAATCCGAGTTTCTGGGAAAATAGAAACATAATCGGATTGTGCCGGGAAGGAACAACTTTTCGCGTTTTTTGTAGAATCGCGCATCGCAACCTGGGGTTTCGCACCGAAATCCTATTTGTATGCCATGGTTCTCGATTTTCCCTATTCTAAAGGAAAAATGCGGGTAAAATATAGGAAAATATTTGGAAAACAAGGACTGTGTCGACAATTAACCATGTTCTGTGCTTGTCGATTTGTGTGCATAGAAGCCTAGGGGTTTCGCATTGAACTACCATGTTGATACTATGTTCCTCCGATGTGTTCCTTATTTCTCGGGATGGGGCGTTCGTAGGGAAGTATATGGGTAGTTCTCTAAATCAGGGTTCCTTTCGGGGTCCTGTTTATAATAAGGGTGCCGTACTATACTGGGGACCTAAACAGGGACCCTGATTCAGAGAACTACCCATATGAAAATAGTAGGAACTAGCGTAGGAGTGTGTCGAACATAAACTATGTTCCGTGCTTTTTCGATGTGCATCGACACCTCGGGATTCCCGCTGAAAATCCTATGTGTTTCCTATTTCTGAACTTCCTGAGTTCTTAAAAAATGATCAATAGTGCTTTTTCAGGGCATGTGTGACTCTAGCCCAGTACTGCAAGTCATAACCCTAAACCCTAAACCTAAAGCCTAAGCCCCAAAGTCCCTAAAGCCCTAAAGCCTAAAACGCTATAAGCCCTAGACCTCAATCCTTTGCCCCTGAACCCGACTCCTGAAATCTAAACCTGAAACCCCTGCGAGACCTCAAATCTGGGGTTTATGGTTTAGGGGGGCTGAGGGTTTACATGAAGGAACGTAGCCTTCTTGTGGCTCACTCCGAGAGCACGAAGACGGATTGGAATTTAAAGGTCAGTGTTCAGTTGTTAGAGTGTCGGTCGACATACTGTTGATGATATAAATCCGGCCTTACCCTAAAAAACCCTATGGGAATTATGGTATATTCCCCTTATTTTGGGTACGTAATGCAGGATTTATATCATCAGCCGTAGGGACGTGGAGGATGAAGAACCAGCACTCTCCAGCAGGGCTCGTAAGAATGGGGTCTCCCTAAATCCCAAAACCAAACCCCAAACCCTACCAGGACCCCCAATGGCCCTCTAATCGAGCCCTTATGGTCCCTAATAGTAGGTATTTGGGGCATAATAGAGGGTAGTTGGGGGGTCTAGGCAAATCCGCAACCCTAAACCCCTAAGCCCTAAACCCTAAACCCTAAATCCGACACCCAAACTGTAGACCTTTAGCCCTAAACCCTAAACCTAAACCCTAAATCCCCAACCCAAACCCCCAACCCCAAACCCCCTAAATCCGAAACCCAAACTGTAGACCTTTAGCCCTGAACCCAAAATCCCTAAATCCCAAACCCAAACCCCAAACCCTAAACTTTAAACCCTAAACCCTAAAGCCCTAAGCCCTAAACCCCTAAACCCTAAATCCGAAACCCAAACTGTAGACCTCTAGCCCCAAAGCCTCACGGCCGAAGACCCCCTGAACCCGAAGTGCTAGACCCGATTTCGATGAACTGTATTTTAGGGGCCTTGATGATCAGAATACGGTTTGGGGTCCCTATATGCCTATATACTATAATCATAGTAAGGAGCCGTAAACCCCCTAAACCCCAAACCCTAAACCCCCAAACCCTCAACCCTAAACCCTAAAACCCTAAACCTCCATAGATAGTATTGGTAATTATTTTGGCCCGTACAGTAGCACTTCGGATGTAGGCTTCTCGAACTTTCGTAGTGGGCCCATTCACGGAGATGCCCAGGGTGCGGGGTACCACTTCATTACCGAAGGGGCCCTAGAGGATGTAGGGGCTCGTGTCCTGATTTAAGGAGTAGTCCTTAACTTCAAGCGCTGTGTGTGGGGACCTCTGGGCATTTAGCTAGGTCTGGGGTGCGAAGCCCCGGTATACATCCGTCCTGCACCCCAACATTCAGGATATCTCAAGACATAATTAGTTGCTCGAGATCCCTGAACCCTAACGCGACCCCCTAAAACCCTAAACCTTCGCCCCTCGATCCAAATCCTTAGTCCTAAATCCAGCAAGCTGAGGATGAGTGATTGTGTTGATGATGATGATGACGAGGAGGAGCAAGAGGAGGAGGAGGAGGAGGAGGAGGAGGCGGATGGCGGATGGCGGATGGCGGATGGCGGATGGCGGATGGCGGATGGCGGATGGCGGATGGCGGATGGCGGATGGCGGATGGCAGATGCGATGGAGCCAATCTTGATATTGTTAAAGTGGAAGCCAGAAAGTTGGAACATCATTATCCTCATGCCCTTACAGTAAAACAGAGGGGACTCCTAGCACTAATCATCCTAAGCCCATGTTCCAACTTTCTGGGGTTCGCTACAAACCTGAACATGGCAATTTGGGCCTCGATGGCAGGTAACGGACTTCGGCATCAGTAAGGCAGGGGCCGGCCACGGTTTAGGGTTTAGGGTTTAGGGTTTAGGGTTCCTGGACACTGTGAATCCATACTACAGGGGCCGAAGTGATTGCCTGCACTATTTCGGAGGTTCATTATAGATATAGTTGAATGTATCCCCAAACCCTATTCCAATTATTAAGGCCACTGTATTACACAAACCCGAAATTGCAGCCTGCGCGATGTCAACCACATCGACTTCCGACTGCAATAGTAGCAGTCCGGATGCTGCGAAGGAACTCAAAGAGATCATGGCGAAGCAGAACGAGAACCTCTCGATTGTGTCCCAGGACATAGCCAGCCTCCGCAGCGTTGTGGTAGAGCACAGCCAAGCGACAGACCTTACCGTGAGGGAACTTGTACTGGAAGTCAGGGACCTCCAGGCCAGTGTTCAGGAACTACAAAGCAGATGGGATGAGTTCATAGCAGAGGAAGAAGCAGCAAGAGTTGAGTACGCGAAGTACTTTGACGAGCAAGAAAAGTTGAAGCAGGAACTCAAAGAAGACCGCGACCGTCTACTTGAGAAGGGAACTGAGGATGGAAGGCCACCTTGGACCAGCGACTTCTACGTCAGGTCTTCGTACAAGCACCCTTGCAGAAACCCTAATATAAACCCCATGCCCGATGTACTACAATATACTATTTACCATGACATACTAGATGTGTCTCAAACTGGAGGGTCGTCTTCAAGTATTCAAGTGGAGACCGAGTTCATGCTGTGTTGCCTATCAATCCGGCCACCTGCCCCTGAACCCTAAACCCTGAACCCTAAACCCCTAAACCCTAAGCCCTATATCCTAAAGTCTTCAAAAGGATAAAGGAGCAGGCCGGATGATTTCACATCCCTGCGCCATAGAAGCTCTAAACTCTGCGCCTTCATCCACTTTCTAGAAGCTTACTGATTAGTGCTCCGCTCAGGATATTGAACAATCTTAGAGCTGTTTAGCTTTCATGAAACTCCACGGCATCAGTAAGTCCTCCTTCACAAAGCTATGCTACATGTTTCCCTAAGGGTCCAAGTGCCTATAATAATCATATACTCTCCCAAATAGTAACCTACATAACGACCAACCTAAACCTAAGTACCTGATTCTTGGGTCCCTTGGACCCTTGGGGTTTGTTATGGCTCTAAGAGCGCCCAAGGGGATGAAACAAACCATAAACCCTAAACCACGGGGATGAAACAAATCGGGGGGTTGTCTACTACGGCTCCTACGGCGGCTAGAGCTCGGTCCCCTCGGGTAATTTGGTTTCTTTGACCTGGTATGTTTTGTGGGGTTTTGGGTTTAGGGTTTTAGGTTAGGGTTTCGGGTTTAGGGTTTTAGGTGAGGTTCTAGGATTAGGGTTTCGGGTTAGGGTTTAGGGTTTTGGGTTTTAGGTTAGGTTTTCGGGTTTAGGGTTTTAGGTGAGGTTTTTAGGTTAGGGTTTCGGGTTAAGGTTTAGGGTTTTGGGTTTGGGTTAGGGTTTCGGGTTTAGGCTTTTAGGTGAGGGTTTTATGTTAGGGTTTCGGGTTTAGGGCTTCGGGTTTAGGTTTCTAGGTTAGAGTCTCGGGTTTAGGGTTTAGGGGATTCTGGGTTTAGAGTTTTGGGTTAGGGTTTCGGATTCAGGGTTTCGGGTTTAGGGGGTCAGGGCTCACTCATGGTTTCAAAAGCTGTATCAAGATTTTGAAAGGGTGCTGGACAAGGTTTGGGTTTTGGAAGTATGCCAGAACGGCAATGCTGAGGCTTGTGCCAAAAGATCTGCATCATAGAGCTTGCTTCACGACTGCGTATGGAAACGGGATCAGGATTTGCGAGACCTTCGGAGTGTTCCGCCTTGAACTGCAGGCATCCAGAAAGCACCCAACTTCAGACTGTGAACCCCAAGCCCCAAACCTCCAACCCATCCCAACCCCAAATCCCAACGCTGAAAACCCCTAAACCCTAAAGCCCTAAACCCTAAATCTTAAAGCCCTAAACCTTATAAAGCCTTAAAGCCCTAAACCCTAAAGCCCTAAAGCCCTAAACCCGAAAGCCTCAAGCCTCAACCCGAAACCGCCGAGAGCACCACTAACCCATTTGCATGGGCTCCGACCGTGGCCCCCGGCCGAGCGTCTCGACAGAACGGTGAAGAACCCGTGTAACTACTGCTGATGATATAAATCCTGCACTACCTTAAGGACCCTAAAACTATAAGAGTTACGGTATATTCCTTATTATAGGTAACCCTCAACTCTACACCCTAAACCCTAAACCCTATATTCCTCATTATGGGTAATGCAGGGTTTAATATCATCAACCGTAGACGCAATGCAACTCTTGGAAGCTCTAGCCTGCGATGGAGCAAAAGAAGCCTGGAGCCCCCAACGGCGGTTTAGGGTTTAGGGTTTATTTAGGGTTTACGGTTTAGGGTTACAGGGTTTAGGGTTTAGGGTTTAGGGTTTGACAAGACTGCTTTGGGGATCCTTATTATAATTATAGAGGAATGTACCCCCCCAAACCCTATTCTAAGATTTAAGAAACCCCTACATTAAGTGCACAAATCCCTCAAACTCGTGTACACCCTGTAAACCCGAAATCCATCAAAACCCCGACACCCCGTCTCAAACCCTAAAGTTTGCAATCCTACAGCTCTAAAGCCCTAAAGCCATAAACCCACGGAGCCTTAAGCCACGAAGCCCCGGAGCCCGAAACTTCAAAACTCCAAAGCCCTTAGGCCCATATAGGGGCCTAAATAATTAGAACAGGGTTTTGGGGTCTATTGTACTATACTACCCTAGTCTAATGATTAAGGCCCCAAACCTTAAACCTTAAAACCCCGGAAGCCCGAACAACCCCTTAAAAATGCCCTGTGCAGGTCCTCCCTTACAGGAACGGATGCCTCCAAACCGACACAAAGCCGGCCCCGAAGATGACGGGCGGCGTCCGAGGGCCAAGAGTTCAGGGGAAACAGGTTTGGGTTTCAGGTTTTAGGGTTTTTAGGGTTTTTAGGGTTTAGGGTTTAGGGTTTTGGGTTTTGGGTTTAGGGTTTAGGATTTTGGGTTTATTGTTTAGGGTCGCCGAAGGTTGAATGATTAAGGGTTTTGGCATTTTAGGTTAGACATTGAAGGTCTAGTTTCAGGCTTGCAGGTCTGTTTCGGTGTTGCAGTACGTGAACCGCAACCCGCCGTTTTGGATCTTGACTTCTTGCTGGGGTATGCAGCCATCATTGCCGGTGTTCGGGGAGCTGGTGAGTTAAGTCCGGATGTCAAACCCTGGATTCGTAAACCTACAGGAAACCCTCTAGATCATGAGTCTTCAACCCATCAACCTAATCCCAACATGCACCACCCAAAAACGGCTGACCAAACACACGCGGCCAACATTTTAAGAAGTTGAACCCGTCAATCTCAACCCCAAACTAATAACCGGACTTGGGCAGTTCTCTGAATTAGGGTCCCTATTTAGGTCCCCAACGTAGTACGGCATCCTTATAAAAAGAACTACAAAAGGGAGCCTAGTTTGGAGAACTACCCACATAAAAGCCATGACTTGGAATAACAGGTCGGCACATGGCGCTACATGGCTCCGGAAGTGGTCCGCTGCTAGGCTTGAGTCCGCCTTCGAGTGTTAAGGAGGTTTAGGGCTTATAAGGTTGAACCCTAAACCCTAAACCCTCGTTCCCCCAAGACCGAAGCATAAATAATTACCTATATTACTTTGTGGGGGCTCCTTATTATAACTACAGTATAATATACGCCAAAACTAACCCTATTCTAATTATAAAGGCCCCTATTTTACACCCTAAACCCTAAACACCTCGAATCCAAACCCCTAAACCCAAACCCTTGACCCTACACCCCACCCTAAATTTGAAATACCAGAGACTTTCACACGCAGAGAAGACGTGGTTCTGAATCTGCCACAGATCTATGCGCCCACATTTTCACAATGTTACACATTCATCGCATGCACATGTATATCCACATGCCCCTTTTTGGTGTGCCCGTAATCACGTATATGATACGTATTGACTCATACAGGAAGGCGGCGACAGAACTCGTTCTGAATTCAATAGGATGGTGTGCCTATTTGTACATATGCCCTGCGGCTGAATGATGTTCGCGCAACGAACTGCCAAGAGTGTGCTTTTGTAATATAGGGGCCTGAATAATTCGAAGAGGGTTTATGGTGTATGTCATACATAACTTGTACAGAAGAAACCCTCGCAGATAGTACTGGTAACTACATTTCGACCCCGGCATTACTCAGTTCCAGCGGTCGCCCTAAGGGTCCAAGTACCTAATAATCATATACTCCCCCAAATAGTAACCTACATATAACTACTATCCGAAACCTAAATCCTAAACCCTAAACCCCTAAGCCCTAAATCCTAAACCCCGAAACCTAAGTACCTGATTATCGGGTCCTCTGAACCCTTGGGGCAGTGTAGTCAGACGGCCTGGGCTAGCATTCCTCTGCGCTCCCAAGGCGCGCCCCATACAGGTCCAGGATTTGGGTCACTCCGAGGTAGAACCCATGGGCCCCTAGTATGGGCCCTTAACCTGGGGCCCTCATATACCTACTGTACCCTTAAGGGTCCCTAGAAAGGCCTAAGGGTCCATACTAGGGGCCCATACTCCTACCTTAGAGTCACCTTTGCCTCCACCATTGCAAGTATAGAGGAATGATCGAAGTAATGATTGAATTTTCAGGCCAAGGCACCGAGTATCTCAAACACCCTACATCTTAAGCAGTTTTACGCCTTAAACCCTAAGCCAGAACTGTAATGTAGATGACTTGTCTTCTCGCGTACAGGTCTCCGAAATAAAGGGCCTCGTCCTGGTGCCTAGTACTTGGGGTGTTAGCAGTTGCTCCTCGCATAGTCTTCTTGAACGCCCGCAAAAGAGCAGCATGATGGAGTGCAACAGTGCTAGGGTCAGAATCCCTGTTTCAGGGTTTAATTTAGGGGCCTTAATACAACACCTATACTATTTTGGTGGTTCTTCATTATGATTCCATTATAATAGACTCCAAAACCCGAGTCTAATTATTCAGGCCCCTGCAGTACCCTACATTAGGTTTTTGGGGCACCGTTCGTTCACCCCCAGCCGTGTCTCTCCAGCCCTAAAGCGCTAAAGCATCGAGGCTACAGAGGCCCCCAGAGAACCCAATAGCCCTTTAATTAAGGAGAATATACCTGAAATCATAATATTTAAGGCCCCTATATAATCAATTGAGGTATATTCCTTATTTCCCTTTAGATCTCTGACAGAGACCCTTATAGATCCTTTTTCAGGCCCCTAGAATTTAAGAGCTATTTTCTTAATTTCAGGGTCTTGGGTTCTCTGGGCTTGAGCTTTCTGGGCCAAGGCTTGGAGTTTCGTTGCCAGGACACTCCCAACTGAAGGAAGGTACCACAAATCCTAGAGGGGAGGAAAACCCTAAACCCAAATAGTACCCAGAGAGCCCAAAAACCCTCAATTACGCAATATACCTTAAATTATAGGGGCCTTGATATTCTGGTTTAAGGAATATTCCCTAATTCAGGGGTGTTGGGCTCTCTGGGTATGATTTAAAGATCGATAAGGTATATTACTACGTAAAGGGTTTCTCTACGAGTCTCTATGCTGTGAGGCTTGACAGGGGCTTTTGTTTATCGTGGTATCCCAGACACTACAGTATGCCTGAAATGGTTCCACAATGGATCAGCATCACGGGATATGCAGGCTTGGTAACTTCTGGCAGTTCGCGCTGGGGGTGTCCGACCAGGGTCTTATAGCACTCACGGATCAAGGGGCCGATCGGTTTTCCTGATGGATGTATTTTAAGTCATCGAGGTTAAGTTAAGTGGTTCCCGCTTTTAGAATGGCTTGGGCCCTGAATTACAAACCTCTGCGGGTGCCTTGAGCAAGTTTCAGAACATAGGGGACCTTGGCATACAACAAAACAATGGTATGAAGCTTATTCCAAGCGTCTAGGGTTTTAGCGTTTAGGGTTTAGGGTTTTGCTTTAGGGGTTTAGGGCTTCGGGCCCTTAAATATAAAATACCTAGTTACGAAAACCTCAACCCAAAGCCCTAAAGCCAAAACCCTAAATCCAAATTTTGAATGAAGCACTACCCACACATGGGTAGTTCTCTAAATTCGGGTCCCTTTTAGGGTCCCTTCTACAAGGGTGCCGTACTATATTGGGGATCCCTAAACCCTAAACCCCCAAAGAACGGAATACCCCGTGATTAAGGAATATACACAAAATTATGGGGACCTTAATATCATGATGTAAGGTATCTTTCTTAATTAAGGGGTCTTGGGTTCTCTGGGCCCTAAACCCTAAACCCTAAACCCTAAACCCTAAGTTAGAGAACTACCCACAGATGCATCTCAGGCTACGAGCAGTACACTGACCGGGTCGACATCTACTCCTTGAGCCTTATTGCCTTTTGACTTTACAGGTTTAGGGTTCAGGGGTTTAGGGTTTAGGGTTTAGGGGTTTAGGGGTTTAGGGCTAAGGGTTTAGGGGTTTAGGGGTTTAGGGTTTAGGGTTTATTGCCGCCCGGCTTTACAGGTTTAGGGTTCCTTCAAGGGCCCGCACTTCTTTTTTTTCCTAACGTTGGCGGTCCCCGGCGGCCCTTGGTAACGTTGGCAGTAAGCCCGGGCAGCCCCAAGCAAGCCTGGG